GGGGCGGGGGGGGAGGGCAAAGTCTGACTGGGCAGAACAGGGGAGAGGTAGAACAAGGGAGAGGGTGTTCAGAGGGTAGACCCAGGCCCACCCCCCTTTTCATCCTAGGGCACGCAGGGAGGAACGGAGAAGGGAGCAAGGTGGGTTGCCTGGCTTACGGGGTAGGAAAGGGCCCTGATTCTCTTCATTAGCCACACCTGGAGAGAGAGTTTAAAAGAGATGCAAGCTGAGTGCGGCATCTGCTGGGAACAAACTTGAGTTTATCTTGTGTTGACTTTGCTTATCTGTGTTCCTGGCGTCTTCCCAAACCGTGTTGAGTTATTGCCATGCCTTTGCGTCTGGAATTCCTTCTCCTGCCCTGCCAGACTCCTTTTGCCTCGGTTGGACTTATAGTTACAGTTTTTGTTGACCACGTTTTGGACTTGATTCTCTGCAGCCCAAAGGCTGTTTACCTGGGAGAGTTTTTTTTTTTTTCTCCAGCCCAGAAGGTAACCAGGACGTTGGAGATAGTCAAGGGACTCTTATCGCTTATTTGACTGTGTTGCCTTTGTGCCACGCCCCTTTGGGTCCTCACACCTTAGTTGCAGGTTGCTTCTCTCCTTGATGAGCTTCCATCCATTGCTTCTATGGGGCAGGCCCTCCAATTTGGGAAGATGCTCTCATGTCTCCAACCTCCTTCTTTTCGCTAGACTAGATATCCCCGATTCCTGCAACCGGTCTCCATGTTTCTCCAGCACCATGTAAAGTTACAACGGGTAGCTGTTGGCCAGAGTAACATCTGCCTACTGCCTCCAAATGCTTAAGAGGGGGAGTCTGGTGGACAACAGGACTCCTTTGAGCATGCTGTGACTTTCGGCCTGTCGCTCTCACTCTCTCTCTCTCTCTCTCTCTGAGTCCAACCCACCTCACAGGATGGTTGTGGTGGGAAAAATAGGAGGAGGAAGGAGGGGGAGGGGGAGGGGTGGTCATCACTTTGAGTCATTGATGAGGGAGGGAGGGAGGTGGGAAGGGAGGAAGGGAGATGGGAGGGAAAGAAAGGGAGGGAGGGAGGGAGGAGACAGAGGGGGAAGGAAGGAAGGGAGGGAGGAAGGAGATGGGAGGAAGGGAGAGAGAGGGAAGAAGAAAAGGGAGGGAGGGAAAGAGGAAGGAGAGGGTGGGAGAGAGAGAGAGAGGAGAGGGAGAGGAAGGAAGGAAGGAGGGAAGGAAGGAAGGAAGGAGATAGAAGGGATGGAGGGAAGAGGAAATGGGGAAGAGAGGGGGGCTGCAAGGGAGCAGGGAAGGAGAGGGAGGGAGAAAGATAGGAGAAGTAGAGGGGGAGGAAGGAAGGAGGGAAGGAATGAAGGAGATGAGAGGAAGGAAAGTGAGGGAAGGAGGGAGGAAAGGGAGGGAAGAATGAGAGGGAGGGAGGAAGGAGTGGGAGGGAAAGAGGGAGGGAGGAAGGACAGGCAGGGAGGGAGGAGAGGGAGGGAAGGGCTACTTCAAGGAGGGGGCACTTTTGTTGGGGAGACCCTGCCTCCCTCCCTCCCTCCCGGCCAACTCACTTGCTCTTCCGCAGCTTGAGGTTCTCGGTCTTGAGCAGGTAGAGCTTCTTGGCGAAGAAGACAGTCATCATAAAGAGGAGCAGGACGACCAGGGCAGCCGAGCCCACCGCCACGCACATCACCTGGAAGTCGGTCACGATGGACTCGCAGCGCAGCCCCTTGTGCCAGATGTAGTCCTGGGTGTTGCACCTAAGGGGGCGGGGGGAAAGGACCAGTGGTGGGTTTCCAAATTTCTTCCAACTCTTTCGGGGAGAGAGAACATGCACGCAGGGCTCTTGCATCGACGCCGGGGAGCTGCGCTGGGTTGTTGTTTTTTTAGCTCAGCTGAGGCGCAGCAATGCGTTCTGCCACGAGAGAATCAGCTGAACTAAAAGAAACCCAAGGGAATAGAGGAGAGGAAAGGGCGGGGCCAGCCAGAGGTGGTATTTGCTGGTTCTCTGAACTACTCAAAATTTTAGCAACCGGTCCGACAGAACCGGACCGAACCGGCTGAATACCACCTCAAAGGTTTGGACTGATCCCACGCAATCCCCCATTCCAGCACTCTCTCTCTCTCTCCCTCTTCCTGTATCTATCTCTCTATCTTTCTATATCTATATCTCACTACATCTGTCTGTCTGTCTACCTACCTACCTATCTCTCTACCTCTCTCTCTACCTCTATCTGTTCTCTCTCTCTCATCTATCTATCTTTCCCTCCCTCCCCCATCCACCCACAGCTTAAATAAAACCTTCCAAGTTTTTGTCCCTCCCTTTCCCAGCCGCCCGTGCAGAATTCACCTCCGGAAGAGAGGGATAGCGCCATTTGCAATTGAATGAAGTGGGGGGGAAAGAAATAAACTAAAAAGAAAAAAAGAAAAATTCTTAAAAATGATCAAAAAAGGAAACGTAAATAATAAAACATAAAATAATTAAATCAAATCAAATTAAAATCAGAAAAATTAAACAAAAAACAAAAAAAACCTAAATCTATTAAAAAAATTAAAAACATAATTTAATTTAAATTATTTTAAATTAAACTAAAATAAAATAAATGAAATTAATGAAATAATCAATCAAATCAAATATAAAAAAATAAACCTAAAGTAAATTAAATTAAACTAAACTAATTAAAGTAAGTAAACAAACTAAAATAAAGGAAATTAATTAAAAAATAAAATAAAACAAAATAATTAAATTAAACTAAATTAAAGTAAAGTAAACTAAATTAAAGAAAATAAAGAAATAATTAAATTAAATTATTAAGATCTTTTGTGACCTATGAGAAAAGATTTGGCCTTACATAAAATCTCCCAGTGGAAATGCCACTCTAGAAAGTCCTTTACTTATAATCCACTGAGCCCAACATTTCTGTCGCTAAGTGAGACAGTGGGGAAGGGAGTTTTGTCCCTTTTTACCACCTTTCTGGCCACCGTTGTTAAGTGAATCACGACAGTTTTTAAGTCAGTTTTGAGTCACAAGGTCGTTAAGTGAATCGGGATTGACTTTGCTCATCAGGAGATTCACCACTGTGACTGTCATAAATATGAGTCCATCGCCGAGTGCCTTGATATGAATCACACGACCATGGGGAGGGTGCAGCGGTTATAAGTGAGGAAAAACAACCATCGCTTTTTCCTGTGCCGTCATAATTTTGAACCATCACTCAGACTTATGACCATTACCACGTCCCCGCAATCAAAACTCCTGTGGCAACGGTCTTGTATTTATGACCATCTCGTGTCCCCCCTCTGCGACCAGTCCATGGGTAGAAGCCCGATTCACTGAATGACTGTCTGACGACGGGGATTCGCTTCATGGCGGGCCAAAAGGTCATTAAATTGAGTCAAAACTCAGTGAACGACTGTTGTGTTTGGCAAGATAAATTTTGGGCTTCGGGGCGGTCATCAATCTGAGAATTACTTGTATTCTGCTCAGGAGACAGATGAAAATAGATCTTAAATTCATATTGTTATATAATATTATAATATATAATATCATGTATTGTTATAATATATAATAATATGTAATATTATATTACATTCATCCTGATATTTTAGTTTCATATATTTCCTTTTTATAACTTGTTATACAGGGTGGCATTATTCCTTTTTGCTCGACTTATGACCACCTTCGAGCCCAACGTTTCGTCACTTTGTTCCATCTTGAGTTTGGCCCCCTTTGAACGACCTCTCTGGCCACCGTCGTTAAGTAAATCATGGTGGTGGAGAGGCAAGCAACCCGGTCTTTAAGTGAATTGGGCTTCCCCATTGAACTCTGCTGGCCTGACAGTCGCAAAAGGGGATCATATAGTGCTGGCATCGTCATAAGCACAAGTCAGAATTCTGATTGCACGACCGCAGGGAGGCTACGACAGTCATAAGGGTGAAAAACAGCCACCGGTCACGTTTTTGTTCAGTGCCGCTGGAACTTGGAATGGTCATTAAATGGGCTGTCGTAAGTTGAGGACTTTCTGTTTGGGGTCTCCTGCTTGAGCAGGGGGGTTGGACTAGATGACCTCCAAGGTACCTTGCATTATTCTACAATTTCTGTAAGGGTCTCCTGCTTTAGCAGTGGGATAGCCTAAATGACCTCTGAGGTTCCATCCGACGCTATGATTTGACATATCTTCCATCTTGGCTGGAGCTACTTGGAACCTACAGAACTCCCCACCACTAGACCTCTGCCAAATCTACAGCCTGAAAGAGTGCTCGACCGGCTCTCCCGACCTCAACAGACTACAAAGCTCAGAGTCCCCGACTTCAGGATCTCCCCATGGGGATCCAGGAATCCATTTCTGACTGCAGTTTCTGACCTCCTGGCTGGACGACCAAGTGGATTAACGGCTTCCGACGGCTTTGACCTAATTCCGGCAGAGGGGCGAGGCCGGAGGACTCCGAATACCATCTGCCTGCTTCTGGGAAAAGCGGGGGCAGGGTCTTCCGACCCCATCTGTGGAATTCAGGGTAGGGGGTCTTCAAAGAGGATGGCCTCCACACACGGAGCTTGGAACCTCGTCCTCGAGATACGACCACGGATTTAAGAGAGCATTCGATATGACGATGGCACTGAAAGAAGCGATGAGGGGATGTTTGTTTCACCCTTAACAACCGTCGTGCCTCCCGATGATTCAAATTCTAGATGAAGGGCCACCAAACCAAACCCCGTGTTTCCCTGAAAATAAGACCGGGTCTTATATTAATTTTTGCTCCAAAAGACCCGTTAGGCCTTATTTTCCAGTTAGGGCTTATCTTCAGGAAAACAGGCTACTTATGACGGTTACAGTGTCCCAGGAGGTGGGGGAGAGGTCAGGGCTCGTCCCCATTTTGCGACAAGCGAAGTCAGGTGTGGGGGAAGGGCGGGGAGGCCTGATTCGCTGAACAACCAGGTGTCCGACATTATCCGCCCTGTCGATTCCCTTCACAAACGTCTCACTTAGCAGCAGAAATGGAAGGGGGTGGTGGACTGCGTAAGCCACGTCACGACAGCGGGGATTCGCTTCAGGAAAGGTCGCAAAACAGGGCAATACTCACTCAACGACCGTCTCGCTTGGGGGAGGGACCAAGTGGCCATCGTACTGTCGAGGACAGCCCTACCTCAACATTTGATTTGGGGTGAGGGGGGACAGGGTGGTGCCCTGGAAAGACCCGACCGGCAAGGGCCAAACTCGCCCATCTCGCTTAGTGACATAAACGTCAGGCTCCACTTTGGTCGTAAGCCGAGAACTACAGGCCTTATGAAACAAAACCGCCCCGTCAGCAAAAGGACCAGGTAGCCATGTTAGGCGCGGAATGATTGAGCAGCTCCGGTGGCCTAGAGGTGGAGCTCTCGCCTCACAATCAGGAGGCTGTGGGTTCAACCCTAGGGAGAGGCTAACATTTGGAATAGACTCTTCTCCTCAAGCAGGGGGTTGGACTAGATGACCTCGCAGGTCCCTTCCGATGTTCTTCTTCTGTCAGGGTCTCCTGTTTGGGCTGGGGGTTGGACTAGAAGACCTCCCAGTTCCCTTCCAATTCAGCGACTCGAAGTTGAGCTCCGCCTCACAATCAAGAGGCTGTGAGTTCGATCGAGGCGAACGTTTTGGAATAGGCTCTCCTGCCTCGAGCAGTGGGTTGGATTAGATGACCTCCGAGGTCTCACCCAACTCTTGTTATTTCTGTGAAATCTATGAAATTCTTTGGGGAGGGAGGAATTGAAATGGGGGTATGAGGTCAAAGGTGAGGCCAAGATGGGAGGGGGGAAGAAAAGGGGAGGGGTCTCTTGGCTTCAGCCTCCCCCCCGCCACTGTGAGACCCTCAGAGGTCCCATTTTGAGTCTGGGGGCAACTGAGGTGGTGTTCAAAGAACGCTACCACCCCCTTGGTTGCAGAAGAGGGAAAGAGGGAGGGGGGATATCTTTCAAGACCCTCCCCCCTACTTTAAGCCCCTCCCTCCTGAATCCTCTTTTAATGACCCTCGGCGTCATTAAAATGAAACCTCTGCGAAGTTCAGGCGGGCCGATTGGCATCTGGCAAAGAAGAACTCCTGAGCATGCGCAGAGTGCTTTTGAGTGGGAGGGGGAGTTTTCTTCAGTGCCAGGTGAGAATTGAGCAGGGGGGCCTTTCCTGAATGGAACAGAATGAATCCTCAGAAGGTGCCCAGGAGGTCATCTAGCCTGCCCAGCTCCTTTGCGTTTCTCCATCGACCAGCTGAGGGGTGGGTGAGTGCTGCTCCTGGGCTCCTCAGCCTCCAGGTGTCAGATTTCCATCCCCCCAGCGCCAGTTCAGGGGTTCCCCCCCCCCCCCCCCCCCAGGGGAGAGACAGAGAGAAAGAGGGAGGGAAAGAGAGGGAGGGAGGGAAGGAACAGAGAGAGAGGGAGGGAGGGAGAGAGAGAGGGAGGGAGGGAAAGTGAAAGAAAAAGAGGCAGAGAGAGGGAGGAAAGAGAGAGGGGGGGAGGGAAAGAGAAAGAGAGGCAGAGAGAGAGAGAAAGATAGAGAAAGAGGTAAAGAGAAAGAGAGGGAGGGAGGGAGAGAGAGAAAGAGAGAAAGAGGGAGGAAGAAAGAGAGGGAAAGAAAGACAGAGGGGGAGGAAAAGAGAGAGAAAGAGAGGGAGGGAAAGAGAGAGAGTGAAAGACAGAGCGGGGAAAAGAGAGAAATAATATTACAAAAGTTTTTCTTTTTTATTGTTGCTAAACGTAATATTTCAAAAGCAAGGGAAAAAAAAACCAAGGGGCATAAAAATGCATTTTTCATGTTTTTCTTGGAACAATTATCTGAATTCTGCCTTGTTTATCATTATTTTAGGTAGTAAAGCCTCATTATTCAGGTTAAATTAAATTATTCACTACCCTAGGGCCTAGCCCTAGACCATTCCTCCCTCTCTCTCTCTCATTCTCCCTCTCTCTCTTTCTGTTCCTTTCTTTCCTTTCTTTCTTTCTCTCTCTCTCTATATATATATTTCTCACTCTTTCTCATCCTCTCTCCCTCTCCCTCATTCTTACCTTATTTTCTTTCTATTTCTTTGTTTCTTTCCCCTTCTCTTTCTTTCTCTCTTTCATTCTCCCTCTCTCTCATTCTTTTTTCCTCTTTCTTTCTCTCTCTCATTCTTTTTTTCTGTTTCTTGCTCTTCTCTCTCTCCCTCACCCCTTCTCTTTTGTTCTTTCTCTCTCCCTCCTTCTCTTTCCCATTCTTCTCTCCTTCACTCTCATTCTTTTTTATCTCCTTCTGTCTGTTTCTCTCTCCTATTTTCTTCCTATTTCTTTGATTCTTTCTCCTCTTTCTCCCTCTCTCTCTCATTCTCCACCTCTCATTCTGTTTTCCTTTCTTTCTCTCTTTCTCTTTTTTACTTGTTCTTTCTCCCTCCCTCACCTCTTCTCTCATTCTTTCTCTCTCCCGCTCCTTCTCTCTCCCATTCCCCCTCTCCTTCAATCTCATTCTCTTTTCTATCTCCCTCTGTCTCCTTCTCTCTTTCCCTCTCTCCCATTCTCACCTATTGTTTTCTTTCTATTTCTTTCTGTTTCTTTCTCCTCTTTCTTTCTCTCTCCCTCTCTTTCATTCTCCCTCTCTCATTCTTTCCTCTTTCTCTCTCATTCTTTCCTCTTTCTCTCTCATTCTCTTTTTTTCTGTTTCTCACCCATTCTTTCTCTCTCCTTCTTTCCCATTTTCCCTCTCTCCTTCACTCTTTTTTTCTACCTCCCTCTGTCTCCTTCTCTCTCTCTTTCCCAAGTTTCCTTTTTGCACCCCGAAGTTGAAAAGAAACCCCCCCTAGCTTCTCCGGCTTGAAGGTAAGGGAGGGGAGTGGTCTCTGTGTGAAACCTCCCCTCAAATCTTCCCTTACGGGAGCCGAGAGGGACCCCCAGCCCTTTTCCAGCTTCCGTCCCCCCCCCTCTGCTCACCTGCAGAAGGCGCCCAGGTTCTCCACTAGGTAACACTGCCCCCCGTTGTGGCAGTAACTTGGGAAGGTGTCGCAAACTGACTTGCAAGTTGCGTTGTGTCGGGTGTAGCCGCTACGGCATTCGGTGCTGTTCTCTGGGATGCTGGCTTCCCGGGCCGGATCCCCCGAAACTGGTCCGGCAATGGTTCGTCCCCCCGAAACGACAAAAGTCTGCAACGGGGGGAGAAGAAAGCGGCGGACGGTGGGCTCTGTGCCGGGGAGTTTGCTGTGGACTTTAGGGGGTGTGGGCGTGGGGGCCCAGGGGTCCTTCCCCTCTTCCTCTTCCTCTGCAGCCCCTGCCTCTTCCTCTTCTTCTTCCTCCTCTTCCTCCTCCTCCTCCGGCTCCTCTTCCTCATCGCCGTCGGTGTAGAAGGAGGTTGTGGGGTAAAAATCCGACTCGTCGAATGGGCTGAACTCATCGTAAAGGTCACGGAAGGGCCACGAGACCCCTTTGTCCACAGACGGCTTCGACTTGGTCGAGTCTACGCCAGGCCCACGCAAGGCCCCTCCGTCGAAGAGGTCATAGTAATCAATGTCGATGATCTCCGAGGCCAGTGGATCAGAAGAAGGGGTCTGCGTAGGTTTGACGATGGGAGGTGCCGTGGAGCGGAGGGTCTCCAGGTTCGGGGTGCGGCTGGACAGCTCTTCTGTCGGGCCCTGGGCACCGCCGGCTCCTCCCAGGGTCTCAGCCGCTTGGGGGTGGTGCGTGGATCGCGTGGGGTCAAGCAGCAGCTCCCTCTCGGCGTTGTCGCGACCGAGTGGATTGAAATCGTGCGGGGGGAGTGCCGTGGCCCATCCGGGATTCAGGGGCGTCTTCGCGTGGGGGTCTCCACTGCCCACGTCTTCTTGGCTGCCGGGCCCGGCTTTGCCTCGGTCGAAAAGCCTCCAGGTGCCGTCTTCCGCCCTCCCCAGGGATGCCCCGCGTGGGGCAGCCGAGGAAGCTTCAGTGCCGGGGTCCGGGTGCGAATCACTCTCCACCATCTCTCTCACCGTCCGCCGGGAGCAGCCGGGACAGAGAACTGGCCAGGTTTTGGGCTCCCACGTGGGTTGACGGGCCCATGTGGGGGGCAGAGCGTGGAGCACCCGTGGGGACTCCTTGGCCCGGGCCGGTTGCACAGATGACCCCTGAGCCGCGGAGACGTTGCCCACCAGCCCGGAGGTCTCTCTGAGGGGAGCCGGATGCACTTTCGTGGGGGGCTGGCTGCTGAGAAGGAGGGCCCCCTGGCTGCTTCTCCACAGGGGTCCCGGGATTTTGGGGTCACCCGGGAAACTCGGACGGGGCTCAGAGCCTGCAAGGGAGGAAAGCAGACACATCGGAACACGGTGCTTAGGGTGTGTCTCTCTTTGGCGATGCACACACGCCTCCGTGGGAGGGGGGAGGGGGGAACCCCCAAGAGAGGGGGAGGGGGAGGAGGAGGAAATAAATATGCCTATTTTCTGCCATACCCTTCACCGCGGCTGTGCCACGCGTGGCATCGCAAAAATAGCAGCCGTTCCCACACAGCCTGATTCATCTGTTGGATCCTCCTCACCTCCTTCAGAGCGTAGTAAAGGGAGATTAATTCCCAGGAGGTGTGGCCGGGAGGGAGAGAGGGAAGGAAGGAAGGAAGGAAGGAAGGAAGGAAGGAAGGAAGGAAGGAAGGAAGGA